CCAAAGTTGCAGGATACAAAATAAACCCACACAAATCATTAGCATTTCCCTATATTACCAACAAAATCCAGCAGCAAGAGATAGAAAGAGAAATTCCATTTAAAATAACTGCAGAAGGGGCAGCTAGGTGGTGCGGTGGATAGGGCACCAGCCCTGGATTCAGGAGCACCTGAGTTCAAATCTGGCCTCAGACACATAACACTTATTACTAGTTGTGTGACCCTGGACAAGTCACTTAACCCCATTGCCTAGCCAAAAAAAATAAAATAATTGTAAACAATATAAAATACTTGGGAGTCTACCTGCCAAGGTAAACTCAGGAACTATATGAACACAACTATGAAACATTTCTCACACAAATAAAGTCAAATCTAAAAAATTGGAAAAATATTAATTGCTCATGAGTAGGCTGAGCCAATATAATAAAAATGACAATTCTACCTAAATTAATCTATTTATTCAGTGTCTTACCAATCAAACTATCAAAAAATTATTTATTAGAGCTAGAAATAATAATAACAAAATTCATCTGGAAGAACAAAAGTCCAAGGATGTCAAGTGAATCAACAACAACAAAAAAAAAAGCAAAAGAAGGTGGTCTAGCTACACCAGATCTCAAACTGTATTATAAAGCAGTAATTATCAAAACGATGTGATATTAGCTAAGAAATGGAGTGGTAGATCAGTGGAATAGATTAGGTACAAATTACATTAAGTAAGTGACCATAGTAATCTAGTATATGATACACCCAAAGATCCAAGCTTTTGCAACAAAAGCTCCTTATTTGACAAAAACTGACGGGCAAACTAGAAAACAGTATGGCAAAAACTAGGTATAGATCAACATTTCACACCATATACCAAGATAAAGTCAAAATGAGTACATGATTTACGACTAAAGAGTGATACAATAAGCAAATTAAGAGAGCATGGAATAGTTTATCTGTCAGATTATGGATAAGGGAAAAATTTAGGACCAAAGGCAATATCAAGGGCATTTTACAAAATGTATAATAGATAATTTTGATTATATACAATTTAAAAGTTTTTGCACAAACAAAACCTATACTACCAAAATTATAAGGAAAGTAGAGAACTAGGTAAAAAATTTTGCAACAAGTATGTCTGATAAAGGCCTCATTTCTCAAATATATAAAGAACTGAGTCAAATGTATTTAAAATGCAAATCACTCCCCAATTGATAAATGGTCAAAGGATATGAACAAGCAGTTTTCAGACAAAGAAATCAAAGCTATCTATGTGAAAAAATGCTCCAAATCACTATTAGAGAAATATAAATTAAAACAACTCTGTGGTACCACCTCGCATCTATCAGATTGGCTAATGTGACAATAAAAGAAAATGTTGGATGTTGGAGGGGATGTGGGAAAACTGGGATGCCAATGCACTGTTGCAGTTGTGAACTGATCCAACCTTTCTGAAAAGCAATTTGGAACTATGCCCAAAGGGCTATAAAACTGTGTGTATCCTTTGATCCAGCAATGCCACTGCTAGGTCTATTTCCCAAAGACATTCAAAAAAAGGGGAAAGAACCTATTTGTACAAAAGTATTTATAGCAACTTTTTTTGTGGTGGCTAAGAATTGGAAATCAAAGGGATGCCCATCAATTGGGGAATGGGTAAGCAAGCTGTGGTATATGATTGTAATGGAATATTATTGTGCTATCAGAAATGACAAGAAGGATGATTTCAGAAAAACCTGGAAAGACTTACACGAACCAATGCATAGTGAAGTGAACAGAACCAGGAGAACGTTGTACACAGTAACAACAGAATTGTTCGATGAAGAATTGTGAATGACTTAGCTATTCTCAGCTGAGACAATCCCAAAGGACTAATAATGAAGCATACTATCCACCTCCAGAGAAAGAACTGATATTGACTGGATACAAACTAAAGGAAGCTATTTTTCACTTTCTTTCATTTTTTTCTTTTATTCAAGTCTTCTTGTACAAAACGACTAATATGGAAACATTTTACAAAATTGCACATATATCACCTATATCTAATTGCTTACCATCTCAGAGAATGGAGAGGGGAGGGAAGGAGGGACAGATAGAATTTGGAACTCAAAACTTTAAATAAAAATGCTTAAAAATAATATTCTAATTAGCACATTTATTATTTTAATGCAAATTATGCTAATCACTTTAATTTATACATAGACTAACATTTACCTTAAGTAAATTATGAATCTCCTTTGTTTTTATGAGTCCCTTAACCTCTTTGACCCTCGGTTTCTTCATCTCTAAAATGGGGATAACAGCACCTGTTTCACAAGGCTATTGTAAGGATCAGATGAGGTGACATATATTTTCATTTATTTATTTTTTGCTAGGCTGTGAGGTTAAGTGACTTGCCCAGGGTCACATAGCTAGTAAGTGTCAAGTGTCTGAGGGCAGATTTGAACTCAGGTCCTCCTGAATCCAGGGCCAATGCTCTAGCCACTGTGCCACCTAGCTGCCCTAAATGAGATGACATATGTAAAGCAATTTGCAAACCTTAAAACCCTGTTATCAATGCTATTTTTTATTTTTATTATTATTATGTAGTAAATGGTCCAATGGATAGAGCACTGGGCTTAGAGTCTGGAACACCTGAGTTCAAATCTGGCTTCAAATGCTTACTAGGTATGTGACCCTAGGCAAATCACTTAACCTCTCTCTGTCTGCCTCAGTTTCCTCCTCTGTAAAATGGAGCTAATAATAGCACCTACTTCTCAGGGTTGTTGTGATGATCAAAGGAGACAATATTTATAAAGTGCTTTGCAAACCTTAACATGTTCTATAAATGTTAGTTATTACTAGCAACTACTGCATTATGTGACAGTGGCAGCTAGATGGTGCAGTGGGTAGAGCACTGGGTTAAGAATCAGAAAGATTTATCTTCATGAGTTCAAATCCAGCCTCAGACACTTACTTACCTTGGGCAAGTCACTTACCCCTTTTTGCCTCAGTTTCCTCATCTGTGAAATGAATTGGAGAAGGAAATAGAAAACTATTCCAGTATCTTTGCCAAGGAAACCCAAAAATAGGGTCATGAAGAGGAAGACACGACTGAACAAAAATCATATGACAGGATTTTCCCAGGGTTCTATATAGCAAAACTATTCCACATGTTTCCTGCACTCTCAAGACCTCCATATAATAACAACCCATTCTTTACCAGGAAGGACCCAGTAGAGGGAAGAATAATAAGAGTTTAAATGTCTACTACATTTTACAAAGCACTTTCCACATCATGAAGTATTATATGAATTATCATCCCCATGTCACAGATGAGAAAACCAATGTCAAAGAGGCCAAGTGACCTGTAATCACTGCCTCTGAACACAGGATTGGAATCTCCCAGGTTTAAATCTTGTGCTGTTTCAATAATGTCTCTCACAGGCAACAGTTAATTTTCACAAGGAAAATAACAGACTTATACCCTTTGACCAAATGATTTCACTGATGCCCTCAAGATGTTAATAAAACCGGGAAGAAAAACCCATCTGAGCTAAAAATTTGCATGACAGCTTTATTTGTAATAGCAAAAAACTGGAGGCAACCCATATATCCAAAGATTTGGAAATGGATGAATAAGTTACTTTCTGTCACTGTAGAGAGGTAGCATGGGGTAATGGATGGAAGACTGACCTTGAAGTTGGGAAGACCTAGATTGGGGGTGGAGAACCTGCAGCCTCGAGGCCACATATGGTCCTCTAGGTCCTCAAGTGTGGCCCTTTGACTAAATCCAAAGGGGAACCAAAGTTTGAATTCAGTCAAAGGGCCACATTTGAAGACCTAGAGGCCACATGTGGCCTCGAGGCTGCAGGTTCCCCACATCTGACTAGATTAATGTCCTATCTCTTACACATACTAGCTGTGTGACCCTGGACAACTGGCTTAATCTCACAATGGCCCAGGAAACTCACTAAGACTCCAGGTTGCGGAGATGAGTTTCCCATCCACTGCAGGGGGAGGGAGTTTTTCCACTGAAAACTTCCCATACTGATAAAATCACAGGCAAGACTGGGTCTCCCATATACCACAAAAAAAAATTAATAAGATCAATTCTATAAATGGGAACATGGTGTAATGAAAAAAAAAATGATAGGTCTGGAGCCAGGAGAAACTTGGGTTGAAATCCTGTTTCCAACCTCTACTGGCTAAATGCAAATGGGCACATTTTTTAATACCTTTAAGCCCCAGTTTCCTAGTTTGTAAAACAAATATAATAACACCTTTAGTATCCTGCTTCAAAGGGTTGTTGTAGCTGAACAAATTTGATAGTGAAGATAACAAACATGACAAATTTTAAAATATTGTAATTGTACGGGTGTGCTCCATTTAGACTTCAGCAAAGTTGAAGGTTATAAGAAACAAGGGGAGAGACCACTGAGATATCAGTAAGAGTGAGGACCTTCTCGAGGTGGTGAACTCATTCTATACCTAGTAAAGGTTCTGAGGCTTTCACTAGGTAAGAGGAATATGAAAAAGGCAATAGAAACAATGACTTTCACCTCATTCCAGATTGCTTCATACCTTCTCCAGGCGTTCACTTGCATAAACCAACAAAAGAATGTTAGTTTTTTTTTGACTTAGGGAAACCTGAACCCTAAAAGTGTTTAGTGATTATTGGGTAAATAACCACTGTCTGGTTATGGTCTGGTGAGATGCATATTTGGGAAATGTTCTGGATTCTAGGTCTGGGTGAGGTCTGTCACTGAGTGAACCATCTTTGTACCAGGAAGAGTTGTCAGTCAAAGTGCTGTGGGAACACAATTGGAGACATCTACTCATGTGAGGCAAAGAGTCTCTATGCTTTCTGAAAGCTCATAGTAGTATCTAGGGCAGGGGTGGGGAACCTGCGGCCTCAAGCCCATGTGTGGCCCTCTGGGTCCTCAAGTGTGGCCCTTTGACTGGATCCAAACTCCACAGAACAAATCAGTGTAACCTGAACCCTAACCCTAACTCTCTGACTCTGAATCCCCTTAGGATGTGTTCTGTGAAGTTTGGATTCAGTCAAAGGGCCGAACTTGACCCAGAGGACCACACACGGCCTCGAGGCCTCAGCCTTGAAGGTGATCCTGAGGCTAGAGGTTGTGGAGGCCTTAGCTGCTTGCTCCCTAAAGAGTAAGCCCAGGAAGAGACAGCACATACCCACCTTCGGCAAACTTCAGGAGGACCCTTCCAGGCAAGAAAGGACACCAAGGGTGTCACAGTTCTGAAATGCCTTGGCCATATGAGCGCCTTGCTACCATTGTACTTTAAGATTGTGCCCACTCTCCCCATCCTTTCCCTGACTCCAAGTATATTTGTGGAAGTGTTTACGGAGGCAAAGCTGTAACTACTGTTTTTTGCTGTGGTGTTTGAGTTAATGCCTTTGCTAAGAGCTGGGTCTAATGGCTGATTGTTAATGGAAATTATGCCAATTCGGTGTTATGAGCAACAGTATTGAAAAGATAGCCACCCACAGTGTTGCTCCTAGAACTCAAGGTAGCAGCCCTTCTGGGGATCCAACCTGCAGGTGTAAAGTTGAGTGAGCTGGGGGGTGGGTGAGTGGTGCAATGGTAATGAGACACACATGTATGGAACACATGTGGCCAAGGCAGCTCATACCTCCAGCATCGCAGGCCCTTCAGAAAATGAGGAAGTGTGTATATACCAACTTTATACTTAGTTTAGCTCCTCATTAACTGCCTCATTTTCTGTGATTACATCCTGGGGTGGGGGTTTGCTCAAGTTATCTATTCTCCTCCCCACCCCACCCAATCACCAACCAAATAAACTACATATGTTCATTCAGTGAAGGCAAAGCTGGCCACTAGCCTTATCCTGGCCTTGGAAATTATGTGCTCTACCCAATAGCAGAGAGCCCTTAGGAAAAACACCATTCTTTCTGTGGTTTTCCGAGAGCTAGAAGTGTGTTGTTAGAGTGAGGATCTGGGTTCAAATCCTACCTCTGCTACCTCTCCTGTGACCTTGAGGAAGTCTCTTCTCCTATCTACTCATCAGTTTCCTCATTTGTAAAATGAGAGCTTTTGGACTAGATCAGTATCCTTTAAAGTGAAATACTCACACCTCAGGGAGTGACCAAGATAATATAGCACAGTAAAGCAAAAATATGAAAACTTTTATATATAATTATTTTTCATCAAGAAAGTAAAAAGTAAGCTTTAGTATGTTTTAATATGCTGATTGACACTTGTTTCATGTGCCAGACACTGCCCTGTCACATATGGTACATAAGGGGAAAGAAGCGAGTGCTCTATGAGGCAGAGGGCTTGACAATGAGTGATGTCTATACGCTTTCATTCACTTTTGGTGTATTTCAACATGTTATAGCTTTATTGTGTCTGACATCTATATCATTAATAAAATAAATTAATAAATTTAGATGAATAAGTTAATAAATCAATAAAATAAATGAAAGCAAATTTATAATTGTATTTTATGTATGTTTAACTAAACTAGCCTCCACAAAACGGACAACTGGCTTAAAAAGATACCTACAAAAAAAATCTCGGACTGAAGATACCAGTAATAATCTGAGTGCAAGCAAAGAAGATAATGGCAAAGCTAATACACGCATTCCTCATACAAGCACTTAATCAGCCGCATTATAAGGTAAAACAACGACATTCTCATCAAATATAATAAGAAATCAACCAGAAAAAATAGATGATCAAGGTGATGGGAAATACAAATTGACATGCATGATCATTAACAATGAACTGCTCACCTGAAATTTATATTGTGGCTTATTTTGACTGATAATGATAGTAGGAAGTCATGACAGTTAGCAAGACGTTTGAAAACTAAGAATCCAGAACATGAAGACAAATCTCCACAATTTTTCCAGCCAAAGTCCACTGCTTTACAAAATTTCAATAAACTTAATGACAAATATGAGTGAGATGATTCACTTTAGACCCCTACTCAACTCTAATCAGTATTAGTCAGTTCAGTATGATGTCATAAGGAGTAATGATTGTTAGCAATTATTTCACTGTACTCATCTTACAATACGTGTTCAGACATCCAATAATGGATATAAAATAAACAATGTACTTATCCATATTTTATATAAAGCACATAGGAATATCTAGATAAAATAGGTTCTTCTAGAAGGGCCCCTATAATGGGGCTCAAACTGTAATGAAATGTTCACTACTTGTTTACCAGTTATGAAGCTCACTTGCCCAACCACAAGAATGCTAACAAAGATATCTCCATCCTGTTTTCCTCAAATTCTATGGGCAGGCTGCCTTGATTCTTTGGAAAGTTCCGCAACTTATTTATGTACCTCCAGATCACTCCGTCTTGTCCAACATGAGCAGGTGACCATCTTATGACCATTTGATGACCACTTGGTCAGTGGAGATCCCTTATGCTTCACCCATGCTGGGACTCTCCTGCTGATAGATCATTTTTAGCCCTCAAGAGCAAGGTCTATCAACCAATGAGATTCTGTATTTTACCATGCCTCTTTTGCATATTTGGGCATCAAACCCTATAAAAACAAGGTCCTGGGGACCAGGGGCATCTTAGATCATGAGGAACACCTGAGGTCCACTTCATTAGAGGTGATCATGGACCCTTTAATAAAGTGCCATTGGCTCAGTGTTCTGCCTCAGGGTTTTTTTTTTCTTGCAGATTGGGCAATTATAATCCCCACAATATTTAAATAAAAGCCTCTTCTTAGGTTTCCCATTGAATGATAAAAAGGCAAAAAGCTACAAACCTTCAGAAAATACTTGTTCTTCTTGCTACCATAAAAAATGGCCAAAATAATGCACAGAACACAATAGGGGAGTAAAAATGGATTCCTTTGTCAGCAAATACTTTTGGAAGAAGAATAGAAAATGCTGCTGAAGACTTGAAGAAAAAATCATGGAACAAACTACGCAGTGGGGGCTCACTATAACATTGGATTAAAGTACAAATATTTCTAACATGGTTGTAGTTCAGTTGTGTTGGGGTTTTCTTGACAGATACAGGAGTAGTTTGCCATTTCCTTCTCTAGCTCATTTTACAGAAGAGGAAACTGAGGTGAACAGTTAAGTGACTTGCCTACGGTCACACAGCTAGTAAGTGTCTGAGGTGGGATTTGAACTCAGGTCTTCCTGACTCCAGAGTTCTATCCACTGCACTACCTAGATACCCTTCATGTAGATGATATTCTTCAACTGGGTCTTTAAGAAAGAGAGAGGTCTATTCTTTTTATATCTCGTCAGTATATCCTGGACCTGGGGCCCCCTTCCTCTGACTGGAGAGGGTGGAGATAGAAAAATCTTCCCAGAACCTCCATTTAAGAAGGTCACTGAGATAAGCCATCTATCTCTACTGCACTGGATTTTGTCATGATGCCCCCATGGTGGGTATCTTTCCTTCTATTCAGCTTTCTTTTGTGTATTGTCTTCCCTGTTTCAATTGTAAGTTCCTTAAGGGCAGAGACTATCTTTTCTTTCTTCCTTTCTTCCTTTCTTCCTCCCTTTCTTTCTTTCTTTCTTTTATCTTTCTTTCTTGTTTCTTCCTTCCTTCCTTTTCTTCTTCTTTTTTTCTCCTCCCCTTTCTCCTTCCCTAACTCCTCCTCCTCCTCCTCCTCCTCCTCTTCTTCTTCTTCACAAAGAGTCAGACATGACTGAACAGCAGCCACAAATTCTCCATCCCTTCCCTCCCTTTCTTTTCCCCCACCCCACCAAGGTTCCTGAATTAGATAAATCAGCCAATCCTTCTATGGCCCTACTCGCCATCCCATTAACTTCCTAGACCAAAGTTCCCCTCCCTGACCACCATTTCCCTATATGAATTGTTCACTTCCCCTCTTAGAAGAGGAAAGACTGTCTTTATCTTTGTATTTCTATCCTCAACACAGTACAGTTTTTGGCATACAGTAATTACATAATAAATTCTTTGTCATTCATTTATTCAAGTCAGAGGTGTCAACCATTTTCCAAAGGTTTAGTCCAAAGAAACAAACAGAATCAGTTTTCCCCTTAACCAAAGGTTTGTCCTAAGAACAAAGAGAGTGGGGTTCCCACTTTACCAAAGGTTTGTTCAAGAACAAACAGAATGGGGTTCACCTTACCAAAGGTTTGAACAAGTAACAAACAGAATCAGACTGCACATGTGCTATAATGTGCTTATTTATTCTCATTAAGCTGGAGAATCATGCATGATAGAGTCAGAAAATAATTGTGAACTCAGAGGTAAACAAGCTAGAGACCCTTTATACAAATCCCAACTCAGGATGCCCGTGTCAACCCAAAACTACAGACTCCATACATGTTTAATCATAATGTGAGAAAGGAATTTCTTAATGGAATAGGTTGTAAATGCAATAAGATAAGAGAATGTCAAGGTATCAATTGAAATTACAGATCTAGAATATCCATGTTTCTTTTATCATTAACATGACATAATGTAACATAAGAAAAGTCCCATTATTCAAGATAGTGTCTGGTTCAAGGCTCCTTGTCCTTGGTTGTCATAAACAGAAGAATGCTTCTCATCAGCTTCATCTGGCCTTGTAGTAGCTGACACAGGAAAGGGCATTTTGGGTTCACTTAGAGAACAAAGCAGAGCATGTCTGTTATGCCAAAGCACACAAAGTCTTGTGGTAGGTTAAGCCAAGAGTGGGCCAAAAATGTCTTTCTCCTGATTGGCCAATCCAGGTTTTAGGCCTTTCTCGGGTGATGGGGGACCCAAAATGGCCAGAGGTGGAAAAAACCAACTATCTCAATATTCTAAGTTCAACTGTTTTTCTACTACATCATGATTTAAATACTCATAGCTCACATTTTCATGCTGCCTTAGATAAAAACAACTAACTAGAAGCTGTGATACAATAGAAAGTTCATTGACTTTCTACTTCCAACTTCTGAGGGGAAGTTTGTGGCAAAAGAAGGAGAAAAGAGAAGGCCTTCAGTCAATTAAGAAAAATAAAAACTATATCTATTATTTGGAGGAGTTTATACTAATGAATTTAGGCAGGAAATTTTTAGAGAAAACTGCTAGAATTTGTGGAAAAATTGAATTTGAAGAAAAATCGCCAGGACCATGTCCTGTTCCAGGTTCTACTTTCATGTTAAAAGACAACAGAATCCAGAATAACAAAGGGGAACATAAAATTATCAAAATGGATTCAGAAGCAGAACCTGAAGAGAGAGACTCAAGGAGGAAAAGGAGAAGGTAGCTGACAAGACCAGGCAGAGGAAGAAAATGTAGTCAGAACAGAGGATGAATCCACTCGCTGGAAAGGATTGGTGGGTAGGGTGAAGTAAGAGATTGAAGCAAGTAGCAGGGAAAGTAGAGTGTGGTTGTGGAGTTGTTCAGACTAATGAAAGAAAGTTAAATGGTTGTCAAGTTTTTATAAGGTGATAATTGGCTGTAATTTTTTTAAAATGTATAGGGTTGAGGTGTAAAGGAAAGTAATTCTCCCCTCCCAAAGAGAGGCTGGAAAAATCTCGACTGGTATGAAAACTAGGGAAAATTGTGCTGTGCCTTGCATCCAGATTCCGATGTTTCTATTTCTGCCACAGTCTAGTGACGTTTATCTGTGTTCCAAGTATAGTCCAATCTCCATGCTGAAGAAGAGGATGTAGGGACTCAAAGAATACCTCTCCACTCTCTAAGGTGTGCAAGATCGCACAATGTTCCCCAAGGAAGGAAACAATAGCGACTTCTAACACATTGTTCCTCAAGGGAGGAAAGAATAGTGACTTCTAACACATTGTTCCCCCGAAAAAGGAAACAATAGAGACTTCTGACACAATATTCCCAAAGGAATGAAACAATAGAGACTTCATTGGGAAGAGGGGCAGGGAGATTCTGAGGACGAGAAGGGGATATTTTACCTTTGTCAGGATGTTGGCAAGTAGAACAGTGTTACATCGAGTACATAGGGAAGGAAAAGGACAGCTGAGCCTCTTCCGGAAGAGTTGGGAGTTGGATACTCTGAGGAGGAATACCCTGCTTGTCCTCCATAGTGCCCCCAGAAGCAAACAGGTGAAAGATCATCCATAAGGGTCAGAGGAAGAATGGAGGAGGAGGAAGAGGAGGAAGAGGAGGTAGCATTCATATGGTGCTGCAAAGATTTGCAAAGCACTTTACTTAGTTTGTAAGTGAAAAGCCTCTGACCTCTTATTCAAAGACTTATTTCAAGTCAACCAGAAAATCAAGTCAAGAAGCATTTACTTAAATATATATTTATTTATTTATTTTAGTTTTCAACATTCACTTCCATAAGATTTTGAATTTCAAATTGTCTCCCCCTCCAGCAGTCACTTGTGGTGAGTGGGATTGAGAAGCGGGGAGTAGAAGGTTGCCTTGCATCAGTGAGGGCCTAACTGAGAT